ATACAATTTAGATGAAATGAACTAGTGAAAACATCATGAGGATTATTCTACATTAAATATCTGCCAATAGATCCTTTCACCTGAATCTTACACACTGGAGCTTTAAAGGGTCATTTTAAAGGAAAACTTTCCTTCAGTTAAAACATGGTGTCGTCATTTTCCAAAACAAATACCTGAACCTCAAACTGGTCCTGGACCTGAACCTGGTTCTGGACCTGATTCTTGTCCTGTACCTGAACCTAGTTGTGGACCTAGATCTAGACTTGGTCCTGGACCACTGACCCCTGTAGAAAGAGGATTTGAGCACCTGTCGGTCTCTGGAGAAAAACACTCCACAGAATTCAGAGAAGACTTTCCATCATAGCCGCCACAGACATAGATGTGTCCATCAACCACCACCGTTCCCATGGCGCTGTGGATGAAAGCACATTTTATCGTCTTTTTGATCAGGACCAGTGTATTGAACACTAATATTGATCACTATTCATTTACGGACTATTCAGACCTGCGCTGACTGTTCATGCTCGACACCCGCGTCCAGTTGTCCATCTCTGGGTTGTAGACCTCCACTGTGCTCAGTCGCGATTGGCCGTCATATCCACCGATGGCGAACAGCAGTCCGTTGACAACAGCCACGCCCACTCTGCTGCGAGCCGTCCTCATTGGCTGACAGCGTTCCCAGAAGTTCCCAAGTGGATCAAAGACTTCGACCACATTTAGGGAGTCACCTGGAAGAGAAAGAAACACAACGTTATAGGTGACAAGTCAGGTGTCAGGTGGTCTGAATGTGTCTTGACTTGATTCACCGACGTGATCTGCCGGCAGCTGTACGGGTATAAAACATATAAAACAAGGTATGGGGTAGACGCTGTTCTTGTATATTACCTTTTCTAGGTGCAAAAAGAGGGTTCAGCTTTTCACACCTCATATTTATGGATATATACGGAGGTGAAAACGCATCTGAATTCTTAGAATAATGTGTTCAGCTGCAACATGACACTTCAACACTAGATGTCAGTAAATTCTACACACTGTACCTTTAAAGGGAAATTGTTTAAGCTATTTTATTTAGTTGCCTTATTGTGGAAGGTTGGTCAGTAAATTTGTTTCCTGTCCTCATAAGCAGTGTATCTGTATTTGACCTTTATTGTGAAGGGTCACAGACGGAAGTTGTTCTGTTTTGGGAGCGAGGTGTTGACTAGTTGTGAAACAACTTCAACAACAAGTTCAAGCCTCATTCTTCATGTCCTGATTATACTATTACGTCTCAGTACAGGTGAATTAAACTCCTGGCTACATTTGAAATGGTTAATAGGAAGAGAGAGAGAGAGGTGTGTGTGTGTGTGAGTCAGAAACTGAAAGTAAACAAGGATTTCTCCGCTCGCTGTGAACTCCTCTGGTGAAGTTCTTTGTCCAGTGTTGGTGGAAATAAGGCCGTTACATCAGTTCCCTTTTCTCAACTTAAGTTTCAGTGGCTTGTGCACACAAAACGTGACTTGCAAGAGGCAGGACACCATAGTTAGATATTGTAGTTTTATTCTTACGATTATGAAATCGTGACGTTATGAAACCGCAGATATCTCAAAATCGGTTAATTGCGACATCCCTGCAGGTGACAGGTGTCAAGTGACATGAGAGCGTGCACCTGAGCTGTTGAGTCCTCCCACAGCATAGATGAGTCCTGTGATGGATGTGCAGCACCTCTGTCTGGTTTTAAACGTGGGAAGATGAGGACGACGCTCCGGCATCAGGTGGAAATCTTTGGCTTCATCCACCAGGTCTCTGACAAGAAACACAGCAGAGACACGACTGAATGTTTAGACGACAGGTAACGAAACAGAACACCTGGACAGCAATCAGTATATCTGGCTGACAGTTTTACCTAAAAGGCTAACATCTAAATACTGAGCCTGACGCTAAGTTAAACATCAATCTGAAAATACTGACGGACAGGTCTATATGAGCCAATCACACACAAGGACGTCTCACCTGCATTTATGGCAGCAGCGAACCAGTTCGTCCTGCTGGACTCGGTCAGACAGAAACTGAGGTCGACACAGAGGAAGTCTGATCTTTGACAGCAGCTCTGGCAACAGAGGCTCCCGCCGGTCCCGGTCATGATGAACCCACATGAGAACAGCCTCAAACACCTGCACAGGTAACACACACTCAGCATCACACACCTGCACAGGTAACACACACTCAGCCTCACACACCTGCACA